ATCAACAATTATGTATCCCTCAACAGATTATCAGAGTCACGGGTACACTTTGTGAAGCAGTTAGCCGACATACCTGTTCCCAATAGTGTAATTGAAGCACTAGAAGACCAAAAAATGGAAAGAAGTCAAGAATGAAGAAATGCGAGCTCTCCAGAAGAATGGCACATGGGCACAGTGTGTCTCATAGTCGAATCTTAAGGTACTTAAAGTTAACCCTTGGAAAAGGATTAATGTTATCAAAAAATTCGCATGGATTATCGACTTGGGTGCTACGAATTTCATGACTCACTTACCAAGTTGGGCATTTGTGACGTATATGCACCAACTTTCTACGAATTTTCATATTTTGAAATCATAAAATAAAATTAAAATTCACAAACACAAGTTTACAATTGTAACAAAGAGACATACAATTACATACTAAGCAAGAAAATTTATAAGGGATAGACAAATACGAGTTGAATAGCGATTTAACAAATATTTCTAAAAGCCCAATAAAATTAATAAAAAGAAGAAATCAAAATTTCACAAACTAAAAAAAACATAGAGAGAAAACAAGAGAAAGATTAACAAACTTTAATTAAATGAATTAAACTAATTAAAACTTGATCATGTAATATGGAGTTTGAGAGAAAAACTCACAAGCAGTAAAAAAGTTTGATACATATTTGCGCCAAGAAAAGAGAAAAAAATGGATAAATTTTTAACAATTTGTGTCAAGAGGTAACATATTATTACAATAATAATAGGTTTATATGTTTTTCTTCTCTTTATTTTTTCTTTCCCGCTTGTTTAGTCTTTTTCTTTTTGGTCGATGCTTGTTTAGTCTTGGAGCCACGTGATTGTCCTTCTGAAGTGGGGTATAAATCATATATCTTAATAATAGAGGAGGTGGCAGCGTACTTCTGAAGTGGGCCCCACGTGATTGTATATGCTAATTTAACAAATAATATTATGCAAAAAATGATTAAGAGCAATTATCCTGTTTCCGAGATCATGTGTACTCGAATCCCCACCCCAATATCGTTTCCATAAACATATAAAGTAAAGAGATGGCACCATGCATGCATTGATTTAGTTGATGGTGTGGATATAAATACATTATGTTAATCTGGGATTTACAAATTGGTGGCCTATCATTTTCGATTGAAACATGTATTAGTTATAATAAAAGAAGATACTTGGACTAGGTTACTTCTAAACAAATAATTTTGGATATCAATCCAAATCCAACTTTGCAAGACGATATGTCGACAAATGATATGAAGTCATCAAAACTTGGTTTTCCTTTCTTTTTAGTTAAATGAAGCCAAAACATGGAGAGTCATGAACTGGAACCTATAGGAATCTTTTCTACCAAGGACTGAAATCTATCAACACTACCGTTAATCTCGAAATCGTATCTCCAGCTCCTTTCATTTTTCAAACTTTCTATAATTCTCTACTCAACGATTTGGTTTGCACATAACCATGATGATTTCTAGCACTTTTAGCATAAACCAAGTAAGAATTGTTGAAGTGAGTCTCCTAATTAATCAAGGAGATTTATTTCCTTGATTAATTAAGGGATTTACTTTCCTATTTTATAGATTTATTTCCTTGTAATTAAGGGATTTACTTTCCTATTTTATATAGTTGTCAAATCATTGTATAATTAGGAGATATTTTCCTAATCCTTTACTAGATCTAATTCTTTGTAAAACACTCATGTGAACTCTTATATATACCTCCTTATGGAGAAGAATAAAAGAAGAACCTAACATATTCAAAACCATATTCATATTTTAGCAAGAATTATAGGATTTCTAAGAATAAAAACAACATCAAATTCACTGGCATCTTTAACCAATTCACTGGTCGAGTGCTTTTGGTCTTAAGGAAGCTGGTTTTGGATTTCTTAGATTACATACCTCTTTTGAGTTGGCAATTGAAGTTTTAGTAACACATTACTCTTTGTATATGGCTAACACTTGTCTCTTACCTTCCTACACTCCTCCTGTGAGTGCAAAAATACTATAAAACATTCCGTTTGGAGTGAAAATTTGTAAAAGAGGAGTGTCGAAATCGGTAATTTTGTATATTTACTCAAACTTCAATTGCCCAAGAAAAGGTATGTCACTGAACCCAAACCATATAGGAAATAGGAGGATATTATGCAAAAAAATGATTAAGAGCAATTATCCTGTATCCGAGATCATGTGTACTCGAATCCCCACCCCAATATCGTTTCCATAAACATATAAAGTAAAGAGATGGCACCATGCATGCATTGATTTAGTTGATGGTGTGGATATAAATACATTATGTTAATCTGGGATTTACAAATTGGTGGCCTATCATTTTCGATTGAAACATGTATTAGTTATAATAAAAGAAGATACTTGGACTAGGTTACTTCTAAACAAATAATTTTGGATATCAATCCAAATCCAACTTTGCAAGACGATATGTCGACAAATGATATGAAGTCATCAAAACTTGGTTTTCCTTTCTTTTTAGTTAAATGAAGCCAAAACATGGAAAGTCATGAACTGGAACCTATAGGAATCTTTTCTACCAAGGACTGAAATCTATCAACACTACCGTTAATCTCGAAATCGTATCTCCAGCTCCTTTCATTTTTCAAACTTTCTATAATTCTCTACTCAACGATTTGGTTTGCACATAACCATGATGATTTCTAGCACTTTTAGCATAAACCAAGTAAGAATTGTTGAAGTGAGTCTCCTAATTAATCAAGGAGATTTATTTCCTTGATTAATTAAGGGATTTACTTTCCTATTTTATAGATTTATTTCCTTGTAATTAAGGGATTTACTTTCCTATTTTATATAGTTGTCAAATCATTGTATAATTAGGAGATATTTTCCTAATCCTTTACTAGATCTAATTCTTTGTAAAACACTCATGTGAACTCTTATATATACCTCCTTATGGAGAAGAATAAAAGAAGAACCTAACATATTCAAAACCATATTCATATTTTAGCATGGTATCAGAGCAATCGATCCTCGGTTGTCTCTAACTTCTCATATCAAAAGTTCTCCTCCCCTCCTCTTCAAGGGGGGAGGGGGAGTGAAAAAGGATCCGTTTCTTATTCTCATGGAGATTTTGCCTCTTTCTTGACTCCGACATACCCTTCTCTTCAGGGGGAGAAGAGAATTGAAGAGAAGTTTCTATGTCCTTTTCTAAGAATAAAAACAACATCAAATTCACTGGCATCTTTAACCAATTCACTGGTCGAGTGCTTTTGGTCTTAAGGAAGCTGGTTTTGGATTTCTTAGATTACATACCTCTTTTGAGTTGGCAATTGAAGTTTTAGTAACACATTACTCTTTGTATATGGCTAACACTTGTCTCTTACCTTCCTACACTCCTCCTGTGAGTGCAAAAATACTATAAAACATTCCGTTTGGAGTGAAAATTTGTAAAAGAGGAGTGTCGAAATCGGTAATTTTGTATATTTACTCAAACTTCAATTGCCCAAGAAAAGGTATGTCACTGAACCCAAACCATATAGGAAATAGGAGTGGTTATTATAACTTAGTGTACCAACATCAAGTAAATAATCAGTCTATAATACTTGTGGGAGCTCAAAATTTGCATAGATAAAGATAACCGATTAGTGATGACTTCAAAGTTGCAGGAGCTAAAGTCTGAGCTGAAATATAATGTGTATCTTTACGTTTGTGAAAAAGATGTTATCATACCTTGGAGAATCCTTGAAGAATTGGTTAGGTTGAAACCAAAAACAACCTCTCTTCATCCGTATGTGAGTTTCTTCTAACCCACAAAATACCTGATATTCAGTATTATTCTGATTCTTCAGTCACCCCAAAATAATCAAAGTGCTGCCCCATTTATTAAAGAAACATGAAAATTGAAAGTACCATGAAAGGTTGGTTAACAAGGATTCATGAGCATGATATTTTCTTCCTGCAAAGGAACATATCTGTAGTGTAACTCTTGTATGCAAAATGCAATTTCTTTTGCATCCAACCAATAAATGGAAATTTATTTCAGTATTTTGCCCTCCATGAATGCCACTTCAATTTCAACTGATACCACAAAGGAGGAATACCAAGAATCCCTCGCGCTAACCTTGGATCAAACACATCAAAATTCACTCGGCTCAAAGAGTCCAGTAGAACCTGGGCAGGCACGGCCCCTAACATATTCAAAACCATATTCATATTTTAGCATGGTATCAGAGCAATCGATCCTCGGTTGTCTCTAACTTCTCATATCAAAAGTTCTCCTCCCCTCCTCTTCAAGGGGGGAGGGGGAGTGAAAAAGGATCCGTTTCTTATTCTCATGGAGATTTTGCCTCTTTCTTGACTCCGACATACCCTTCTCTTCAGGGGGAGAAGAGAATTGAAGAGTTTAGTCTTGGAGCCCCGTGATTGTCCTTCTGAAGTGGGGTATAAATCATATATCTTAATAATAGAGGAGGTGGCAGCGTACTTCTGAAGTGGGCCCCACGTGATTGTATATGCTAATTTAACAAATAATATTATGCAAAAAATGATTAAGAGCAATTATCCTGTTTCCGAGATCATGTGTACTCGAATCCCCACCCCAATATCGTTTCCATAAACATATAAAGTAAAGAGATGGCACCATGCATGTATTGATTTAGTTGATGGTGTGGATATAAATACATTATGTTAATCTGGGATTTACAAATTGGTGGCCTATCATTTTCGATTGAAACATGTATTAGTTATAATAAAAGAAGATACTTGGACTAGGTTACTTCTAAACAAATAATTTTGGATATCAATCCAAATCCAACTTTGCAAGACGATATGTCGACAAATGATATGAAGTCATCAAAACTTGGTTTTCCTTTCTTTTTAGTTAAATGAAGCCAACAAGGATTCATGAGCATGATATTTTCTTCCTGCAAAGGAACATATCTGTAGTGTAACTCTTGTATGCAAAATGCAATTTCTTTTGCATCCAACCAATAAATGGAAATTTATTTCAGTATTTTGCCC